CCTACATATTTCAGGCCTTCCGTGGCGAGACTGCGGGCCTTGTCATGCAACGCAAAAACCCACAGTCCAGCCCAGGCTAAGAGTGTGAACTTTAATAGCAACACGTAAAACTTCAAAATATATATATATATATATATATATATATATATATATATATGAGAGTTGAATCACATTGAACAATAACATAGACAAGTATATGCACATACACACGTAGGGCCTAACATGAACTTTGGGAAAGAGACATATACCAAGAAAGTCTTGTGTGCATGAGACACACACACGTGGGAACTAACAAGAAGTTGGAGAGAGAGAGTTACAAAGAAAGTTGTGTGTATGAGAGAGAGTCTTTCAGCTCTGTCGTAGAAGAAGAGAGGAGGGAAATGTTGTCATTAGATCAAACAAACTGATGCTGATGGTCCTACTTGCTTTTTACATAATGCGTATTAGTGCTTTATACGGTATGAGCGATACAAATGTCATCCTTAAAGCTGGCTTTTTAGATTTAAAAAAAAAATTATCACACTGATTAAAGTTCGGAGTAAAGATTTTAGATGACATTAAATCTTCAAAAGTAGAGTTAAAAAAAAATTATAAGTTTTTAAAGTATCACACATAATGCTTGAATCCTTAAATTGTTAATATGCATAAAAGTTCATAAACAGGATTGTCCATGCCACGTAGTTATTTAATAATGAGACTTTTTTTGGGTTAAAAAATCTATGTTTGATATTATCCAAAGAACCAAACTATCCTGCTAAAATCACTAGCTGAACCACCCAAGGGTGCCATTTTAGATTTCCAGGCTAAAGGTTCAAAATATGAAGTACAAATGCAGAAAAAAAAAGTAAATCTTTTAATGTTAATTGGGATATTTTTCAACTCTTTAACGATTTTACAAAACTCCTTAAATGTTATTTTCCCATTATTTTTGCTGCCATCCATACCATAACTGCTTTTGTAAGATTTGATGGTTGGTTAGTTGGTCAGTACATGATCTGATGCTTAGAAACATAGTTAAGCATAATTTTTTTGAGTATTTGATAGCGTGGAAAGCGCAATGGAGTAATTGCACTTTCTGTTGTGCAGTAAATTTCCCAATTTAGTTTAAGGGTAAATAGCAACTGCGGCGAATAGTGCCTTGACATGTTATCCAACACACCCTTAGCAACCCCCAATATCAAGTTGATAATGATGAATGATTTTTCCCGGTAGGAGGTGTGAGTGAGTCGAAGTGGAAATCTCAAAAAAGACGATGGGTTGGTTCAAAAGGACATGATTGAAAGTAACAAAAAAATATATGGGGACATATAGCCTCATTGAAGCTATAGTCCTTGATAAAGGAGAATAAATGACTATGATTCGTATAGCCGACTCCAAATAGTTGAAAAAAACTCTGATGATAATAAATGATGAATTGATTCTCCAAACCATCCATTTAAGAGAATTAAATTAGGTTTTGAGAAGCTCAAAAGCAACCATTATTTCTAAAAATGTAACTTTTTCCCTTTTCCTTTCCTTTCATAACTTTATGAAGTAAAATCAAAGATAATGTGAAATTTCAAACTAAAAGAACCCCCTTTTATCTTGGATGCCGGACCATTCATTTGAAGTGGTCTTGTTGGACCATTGATATGCCCCTAAAAAGAGAGACTTGCATACACACATTTCAAAATTTACTTAGAAGTCTACACTTTGATGGTTAATTTGTCTCCAAACTTAAACCATTTACCACTTGATGAACAAAAAGACTATTTTACCCTCAATGCGTGTGAAACACTCATAATTGCATATGCATGAAAGTCCTTAGAAACATAGGAGAAAAAAAACACACTTTACTTGTAAGTAATTATTAGTGTCCTATTCACTATCCAAATTCCAAAACCCATCCTCTCCCAACGTTACCATGCCCTTAATAAGTTCTCTAATGACTTAAGACACCTTTACTAGGTCAATTTCCCACAAAGACCCAAGTACCCTCGATCAATTTTATAATGCCCCACCTAGACAATGTGGATGTGCTGGTGAAAAAATTATTGTTTAAAAGTTTGTATAGAGTCAAGGCTCTAAATAATCAAATTAGAGGTGACCTCAAAAATTTACTAGAAAAGGTTGTTTTGATGCTTGAATATCATTAAATTAATCATCTCGACTTCAAGATGCATGGACATGAGAAAAACTGAATTTCAAAATTTAAAAATAGTGTATCTTGTAATGGATTTTTTGACCGTCAATTTTCAAGTTTTTATAGATTTGCTCGATCTACATTATTTTTTAAACTTTAAGTTTTATAATTAAGGATGGAAATATATTTTAAGGCCATCACAAAGATTTCCAACAATGAAACCATATTTCTTGACAGTATTTGAAAGTGCACTTTACTTTGAATGCATAGAGCCTCGGCTCTATACAAAACTGTACCCTTCCCACAGATCCCTTCATTTCCTCAAAGTAATGTTTGAAAACCCAGACTCAGGCTGGAACTTGACCTGACTTACTAACCCTCTAGGCCAAGTTGGATCGCTTAACTAAGCCGAGTTTCATTAAGAAAATGGATTGTATGAGACCATACTCAAGCTGGAACTTGACTTGACTTACTAACCCTCTAGGCCAAGTTGGATCGTTTAACTAAGCCTAGTTTCATTAAGAAAATGGATTGTATGAGACCATTTACCTTTGATGTAAAGAGGTTACAATTAATTACACCAATCCGATGTGAAATATGATAGCTTGGATGTGTCAAAAATTTCGAAAAAAGTTCTTTTGAAGTTTGAGATTGGTTCTGGAATAAATGTAGCTATCCAATTTAACATTCAATGGTCAAGATTAATTGTGACCACCCTTGTACCAAAAGTAAATAGTCTTGTTGTATACTTTTTTAAAAAAAATGTTGAAAGTCTCTCAAACTTGACTCACCCAGTTTATGGGGTTGGTCATCTGGACACCAATATTTCTGACTTGGACGAATCCGAACTCGAATGATCAATTGCTCTATCGCTAGTCGAAACAAGCACATGAGGTGAGTTCAAGTTGAACGTGAGTTCTTGATGCACAAGCCCATGTGAGCTTTGATCTAAACCTCAATAGTGTTTCTGGTTAGGCTAAGCTGTAATTGGGGTTGCCTAGTAGTTAGGCCCTAATGTCTATGTTGACGAGGTTCACGGACAGTGGAGATGAATGTTTGTGGGGAGCTCCAAGAATCAAATCGACGATATGTATTAAAATTTAAAAATCTTGAAAAGGGGCAATTTAGAAAAAAAAAAAAAGAAAAAAAAAAAAAAGAAAGAAAAAAAAGTAACTGTCGTAAGATATATTATTTATAAGATTCGAAATTTTTTTTATTTTTGTCCCATATATCCCAAAGTCATGATGATCAATCTCAAAGTTTTTCAACATCATAATACTCTTTTTTTCGATGTATTTTTGAGGTGTGAGCCTTATATAAAATTTTCCCTTCTCTATGTGAGAATTGCATGTAAGCGTCCTATGAGAATATCATTTTAGCTTTTAATTCAAAATTTCATGATTACCCAATATGGGCCAGTTTGGACACACCAATTATTAGAAGTAATTCTATTTCCCTACCCGGTTACTTGAAACAATAGAAATCGATGTTAGTTTGGCTCCTGCTAATCATGAATAAGTCTTGTTTCTTCTATTTCATACTAAAAATTGGGATTATCTCTGCCACGAAGTTAAAACCCTTGTTCCCATACCTAAGGAAAACGTTGATATAAGGTGTCAACTTTCTACTATAAAAGTAAATACACTTCAAAAAGCTACCAGAAAACATTATGTTGCTGGAATCGATCGTCTTCGAGATATATGGATATGTAAAAATAGGGATTTCAAATTCCAATAACTGTTCATTTTGTGATAACGTTTGAACCGTTCGTTTTCAAGACTTTCTATAATTTATAGGTTTATTGGTAAGTTTCTGATCCCCAAACTATATCTTTAGATAGAACTTGAAGGTCCCCGTTATTTTGATTGTTTACGCCTTATATAAACCTCACCTATCCTCATTAACAATATATTTATGAGAATGTCTAAACTAGACCTAAAGATTGCCGCTTATTTTAGTCATTTGAAATAGATAATTTATCAAAACATGTGGTTTACAATCCAATTAAGGTGCGCCTCCAAAGTTTATCATAACATGTAATTTTCGTGAAGTTCTTTTTAGGATTATTTCAAAATCTATTTTCATATCTAATTATAAAATTTTAAACTCCAAAAATGGTTAAAATGCAGCAGATCTATAAATATATGAAAATCTTGATAATCGACGGTCTAGATAATTTATTGCAAGATGCACTATTTATGAGACTTAAAATATATATTTTTTCTTTCATATTCATGCATTTCGAGAAAATGCTTTTTCCAAATAAAATATCAAATATCTCATCTTTTATATATATTTTGATAAAATGTTCTTTGTTATCCATTTCAGAGGGTAAAATAGTAATTGCTATTTCAGTCCAAAAGAATCTTAATTAGATCCCAAGAACATATGTATCCATTGACATATAAGGGGTATTATCTAATTCTAGAGAGAGAATAAGGAATAGAATTATGGCAGAGGTTGACAAGGGGGGTTTTGGATCATGGGTGGTATAGAATAAGAGATTTAGTAAGTAAAAAGGATGAATTTAGAGGGTGGGTCCTGGGGATTGAATTGAATTTTGAGCTTTTGTGTTGGAAGTTGATCAATATTTGAATTATTTTACAAAATAAGCCACCAGAACCTTGCTTTGTCCTGGTTTTGGATAGGATAATAATCCCCCCAATTAAATAAACAGTGTGATCAGTGTGAAATCAGAGTATTTTGAACATCCCCAAAAAGCTTCTGATTTTGCAGTCTCTGGAGATCCCTCTCATTGGATTTAAGAACAAGGTCAACATAAAAAACTAATAGAAGCGCGAGCAAGAGAGAGAGATTTTAAGACTTTTTAAGTACTAGAGTTTCTTGCATTGAAATTCACTGTTAAGACTCGGGTTTCTTGGTAGTTGTTTAAGCTGTGTAATTCGGTCTTCACAGAAACACATAAGGCCTCCATTACTGCCCCTTCCCTTAAAGACCGGCCTAAGCTTCGGGGTTAGCCTCCTTACGAGGAGGCATATAATGGCATTGAACAAAGAGAACAAGACCATGAATTGGAACTGTAAATTCTTAGTCTTTTAGAATTTGCAGTCCAGACTCAGAAAGACAGAGTGATTAAGAAGAGCTTGAAGCTTACTCTTGAGCTTTTTTGTCTGAGAAAAGTTGTTGGGTTCTGTTAGTTTTAGCTTAGCTACAGAGAGAATCAAGGGAGGAAACTTTGTGGGGTTCAGAGTTTTCTTTGAGCTGTTTATTTGGGTATCTTGGTTTTTTTCTCTCTCTTGAGATTTGAAGCCAGGGAGTGTTCTAGAGTCCGAAAGCTTGGGTGGTGAGAGAAAATGGATTACAAAAGTGAGGGTGATAGGATGGATGAAGTGATGCTTCCTGGTTTTAGATTTCATCCAACTGATGAGGAGCTTGTTGGGTTCTATCTCAGGAGGAAGATACAGCATAAGCCACTCTCAATTGAGCTAATAAAACAGCTAGATATCTACAAGTTTGATCCCTGGGACCTTCCCAGTAAGTAGTTTCTCTCTCTTTCTCCATAACTGCTCTCTCTCTCTCTCTCTAGGAAGTCTGCAGCTTGCTCTGGTTCAACAGTATCCTATTGCAAGAAACCTTTTCCATTGAATTCTCTCTTGGGTCTTCTTGATTTGTGAAGTATATACACTTAAAACTCTTCTTCTGAGGTTCTGGAGAAGCTCTTAATCTTTTTCTTCATTATTGTTCTGCCTTTCAGGTTCTTCAGAACTGTAGTTTTGGAAAACTTCGAAGAAGATTTTTGTGATGAATTAAATTTAGAAAATTCAAGAACTTTCTTGTGGCTTGCTGGTGCTGTATTATACTTTCAGTCACTGTGTAGCTGGTGATCTTAGCCTGGGCTTCATCAGATTTAGTAGAACACTTTCATGAAGCTTCCTTGTTGAAAATACTTGTCCTCTTGTCTCTTTCGTAGCTTTCAAATTTACTGCTTTTCTGTGGACTTTTGCTACCTGTTTTCAAGATTTTACTGCTATGCTGGTACCTGATAGTAAAAAAAATTATTGCGAAAAAATATGAAAATTTCAAGGTACAACCACTAAATTCATGGGAGCCTTATCTCAATTTGACTGGATTCAAGGTTATGAGATGCCTAATTTTGTGAAAGTTTCTATATTGATATTTGAGACATTTCATAAAATAACCCCATCATATAAATGAAATACGTCTTTTTCCTAAATTCTATATCATGTCTAATTTCACATTACTATTCTCAGGATTGGAATTGAGATTTTATTTTACTTGTGAGTTTCAACAATGGAAGCTGCCCCTCTCTCTCTCTCTCTCTCT